CGTGTTCACATTCGTGTAACCAATGCAAAAACGGATGCTTGCCTGCGTACACCTTTGTGTGATGTTCTCTCTAATCAGACACGAGATGTGCACGCAAAAGTCACACTGCAAAGTTTTGTCGGTTGACAAATTTTCCATCCAAACAAAGATGACCTAACATGCCCGTTCCATGTTCTCAAGTTGAATAGAAGATCGTGCCGCTGACTCGACAACGTGTATTTGTTATTCTGATTTTGCGTTTGATTTTTCTGACTTCTTTTTTGGTTTTTCCGTGATATATATATATATATATATATATATATATNCTGTTGCCAAACAAACCACAGTACAATAGAGTAGAAAAAGTTCCGTAATTTACTTGTGGGCACTATAGTGTCAGGTTACCCAAGCCAAGGCAAGTGGATTTTCTTGAGCAATCATATTTAGCGAGACAGTACGGTGTTAATTTATGTAACTTTTTCACATGGGGATAAACCAATGCTTCCGGCAAGCTGATCTTGTTGCAACTCTCGGGGCACAGTTTGCATTGATATTGTATCAATTGCATAACATTGTGTTGATAGCCGCCAGTCTAAGCGATCCCTTACCGTGAATTTTATTTTTTAGGTCCAATTGCAACGAAATTAATCTGGCGTGGGATTTCTATGATCCGGGTTTTTCCATTTTTTGTGTTTATTTCTTGGTCAACCTCAGAGTAAACGAATGAGAGTAAGATTGTCATGTTTGGCGAAGTCACTCTTCAAAACGTCCGGTCCAACTCTTCGACCGAGGACCTCGCAAAATCCGAATCCAAAAAGATTAGTGCGAAAGTTGTATTCAAAGGTGTATCACTGCGGTACATCTAGAGGGAAAACTTGCTCACTATACATATACACCACTCGACCTTGAGAGTTCTAGAAAGTGTGCGCGATTATCAATTTTGGAACATTCTAAGGTAGAGGTGACCGATAAGATAGAGCAGTTTGGGGACTCCTACAAGTGCTCGTATATTCCAACACATTCTGCGAAATCTCTTGGACCTTCAGTGGATTCTTATTGGCTGATTTTGTTCTCTCATAGGTCAAACTTCAGGAAGATTTCACCTTCCTTACGAAGACGACTGAGGTTGTCTCAGAGCCTCCAATAAGAGCGAGAATTTGTTGACTCAATAGATTTATGTCAAAAAATGTATGGATAACAAAACTATCTTTCAAAGATCTTGTCCATAAGTTACGGCATAGTTTATTCTGCGAAATGACCTCAAACTTGCCTGATCCAAACTCGCTTGTATGATTTGAACAAGCTGAAATTCAGTTAACGCATACTGACCTCATGAAACCTTGAAGTCCTTGTGTCCCACAGTTCAGCATTCTTGAAAAACCAGTTTTTGAAGACCTACTAATGCAACTGAACTTAATTTACGCACAGAATCCACAGATTTCCTTGAATCTGATGATGATTTCCTCCACGCGATTGAAGAGTGCAGTTGTGTGAAAAGTACTTCATGCCATCCATGATTTACACATTTAAGAATTCAGTCTCTCGGCATTACCTTTTTTGCTCATCCTCATAAACAATCTAAGATGTTTTTTTTTCTGAAAGCTTTGATGTGGGGGGAAATTATGTCCATTTATAGAAAATAATGTATCGTCCTCCTGTTCACAACCCTTTTTTATGTTAACTTAGTCAATGTGTGTGGCTAAAGTGGAAGAATGCATTTTGCTAAGACACTGATCCGCGTTCCGCTAGTTTTAGTTTCGTGCATCAATCATTTTTCTCCACACTCGCACACAGTGTTTCCTTTTCAGTAGTTTTCTAACCGTAATTCCTCATCTGCATTATTCAGCTGATAGCTGCCACTATGTCCATCCCACTCGTTCATCATCTTCATGTAGAAATCAGTGTCGGGGTCGGTTTCCAAATCATGACCGTGTGAGAGAGAGAGTTACATGTTGCCTAGATCCATCGGTCTCTTATTATTATTACATCGGACTGAAAGTATATTTTTCCTCTCGCAATCAGTGAATATTGAATTATGGTTATATGGAGCAGTAGAACGTAAACTGAATAATCTGCCAGGATACTGAAGCTGACATTCGATTACCGGTAACGTACAAGACAATGGGTGTGTGGCTTGGTTATTTCACCTCTCTATCAGCTGAATAGCAGTCAACTGATTTATGGTATTGTATTGTATTGTATTGGTAGACAACTTTGTCATCACCCGGTCCTATACCACGCCTGAACTAGCGGGGCCTTATATGGTTTGCCAATCCAAGTACCGGGGCTTAGGTTGTCTTAGGTAAGTCACTGATATAAGTCGCAAAAAGATAAAGTACACCCGAACTATTAAGTGATGTGATTGACTGTCTTCTTCCCTATTTAACATACTGATAAATTTGCGAAAAATAATCAGCAAGCCACTCAGGAAGAGAAATGGGACAACCCAACGATTGGAGCTTGTTAAGCAACAGAAAACGGAGCATTGAGTCAAAACCGGAAGAATAACCAGGAAATGCCCAGTGCACATATTTGGCTTTCTCGTTCAAGTTATGTTTTTATGCAAACTGTCATTGGGGTGGTGAAGGTGAAGCTGACGCAGAACTGATCGCTCCATCAATTTTATATGAATGCTATTTCCATCCATTGTCTAAATTTCACTCGTGTGTTGGAAATTTTTCTGCCTCACAATGTCGAATTTTCCCCATTTTGGGGACTATATATATATGATAATAAGTAGTATGCGAATGACTAGACAAAATTTCCCTGGAAGCACGCGACCGGTTTCGCGGTTCGTGCAGCTCGTCAGGCATGCGTTTCCAGTAATCTTTTACCAGTTCATTCATATACTTGTACCCAGGAAGTGTATTTTCTTCACAATAACCTTGTTTGCAATACCGGGTGACCATTGGATAGACAGCATAATATTTGAAAATGATAATTTTGTCCAGTCATTCTACTTATTATCAAATATTATGCTAAGACCATCAGGTCACGTTTGTTGCGGTTAATAGCATCTAATCCACTTGCAAAACATCGAATCACAGCATTGATTCTTCATTGGACTGGCTCTAAAAGAGCTGTTCATCCATTGGTCACCCGGTGTTGCAAACAAGGTTATTGTGACGAATATATATATATATATATATATATATATATACGTAATTCGCAATACTGTGTGGATTCGTTTGAACGGTCACGGTACGGAATGGGACTGTTTCTCTCCGTGGATGTACGACGCGCATAGGCGTTGAAATTTAGAGCTCGTTCGGGTACTCTGCACAGCTTTTATGATGCCGTGTTGCAGGTGCTCATCTTATCACGAGTTATGGTATCTGTAGACTTATATTGAGACGAAAACTGAGGGCATTTTGGGTAGAACTATGAAATATCTAATTCTGTAAACCAAGAACAAACAATACATATGGGATCAGTGTGTAGACGAATGCAAGGTAGCACAGATTTGCTAATGAGGTTTCGGACAACGGTCCTGCATTCTGTATTATGCAGGACCGACCCCAGTTATGAATCCACTCGAAATATACTCACAGATTGATTACGGGTAACACAGTCCGAGTTCTTACACAATTAGCGTCTTCACAAAAGGCCTCACAATTACTGGCCGCTCACTGACGCTCTCCATACACAGGTAGGATACACTTCTCACGGTAGGTTCTCCGTGGAGGGGGGCTCCCAAACGACCTGCAAGACGGAAAATACGAAAAGCAATCATGAACCAAGAGGTCCAGTGAGACATGCATACGACTCACAATCACATCAAAATGGCTGCGCCCGTGTCTTCACTACAATTCCTGAGCATGTATACATAAAATATGAGCCTGCAGACTTTTTTGAGGTTTTCCATATGATCTGACCAGAAAATATGATTGGTGAGAGTGCCTCAAAGAGATTTATCAGAGTCAAATTTAAGAGTTCTCCGACCATGGCCAACTGGATCAAGGAAGTAATTCAGCAAAGTAAGATGAAAGAATTCATTTCCCAGACTAAACGGAACATTGACTTAATTGGTGATGTTAAGCAACAAGAGAACAGAGTACAGACCAATTGAGAAGTTTTTATAGGCTGTTTATGAGGAGGATTGCGGGATTGGTAACCAATCACATAACTGGTATACAGTCATTGCAGTTGGGCGGAATGGGACAATTCAGTGTATGCAAAAGTAGCGCCCTGAAAACGAAAACAGAACCGGCGCGTACCTGAGAGGTTTTGGCTTTGAGTTCCCAAAAGATTGAGAGAACCGCTCCCAGCGAAACAGAGTCTCTTTCACCATGGATTGGAAAAGGTGAGATGAAGCTGAATTCCGGTGCAGTAGAGGATTGACGATTTAATTTTTCCTCTTTGGGACAAAAGCTGACACCTGAACCTCATAAGAACCCCATAAGATAGATCACATCTCACAACAACTCTTATTACTCACAACATTCACAACGTACATCGTGTTTAGGCATCTTTCTCTAAAGATGTTCACACGGTGTAGTCATTACTATTGGTAGACACATAAGTCGTTGGAGCGCAGACACCAATTAGCCGGATCTATTTTGTGTGTCAGTTAACCAATGAATGAACCACACACGGGAGGTCAAGGTTAATGGTCACCCCAGCGTAATCGATCGCTCGTCATGAGCTAGAGACTGATCTCATGTCAACGTGATCAAAGCATTTAAAATCCTTTTTTTATGCAAAACTCTCGTTTACTTTAGTTATCAGAGGCTATT